ACACACACACACACACACACACACAAAGAATCGGTTTATTGCAAAGTAGGTTTCACATACTCGGAATTTGGCGAGCTGATTGGTGCGTGACAATAATTGTAAAAAGTAAAAGACATGATTTAAAGATGGAAAATGTGAAAATTTACAATAAAACGTGATAAACAAACAGACGAATTAAGAGTACGTTAAAACAAGTACGCGAGTGTCAAGTGTGCATCTAAAGAGAAGAGTTGTGCAACGGTGTGTAACTGTAAGTAATTGTCCTGAGGATGGAAGTGTCCGAGTCAGTGGGGGTCCCGGGCAACTGCAGACAGGAAGAAACTGTTTTTTGTGTCCAAGTACTTTCTAGACGTGAATGTTATAGCTACAGTGTAATAACTTATAGTTATGAGTGTATTAAAACACTGAATTTGTTCAGGCAATCATGACAGCCGCTTTTCCGCTTCTTCTCAACAAGGAACGGATCTGTTCTCACTGTTGCCCGCATCGTTAAGAAGCCAATTTCCTCTGTTGCCTCTGACTCAGCACCTCCACTGGCCTGAGACCATGCTGTGATCCATAACAGAATCCTTTTATTAGTAGTCAGTGACAACACCTATACCGTGCTGTGCGCTATAAAGTCGTCACAGAGAGAGTTGCCTTTTAAATACTGCTGGCGGTGGTGACAGCGGATATGTACCCAGAATGAGGCGGGCCATTTTTGTTCAGAGCCTTGTTTCAAAATGTACGAAAAGCAGCCTTGTGTCCCTCTTTAACCTTTCTCTTAACAGTCCACAGATGCTTGACAGAATGACTTTGCCTGCCAAGTACATAATCATAAATGGAGACAACAATCCCATCGCAAAATCTTGCTGCCTTGTGCTTGAATCGCTTTTTTCGAGAAGGAGTCAGCGGTTGTTCACCGACAAATAGTTCTAAAATAAAGTCCCTTCGAAGCTTTTCATCCGTTAGCGATCAGACGGGAGATTCATACGTTATTATCCTGATACAGGTGGAAAGCTTCCTCCTCTCTGTGATGCAGCTGCGACCCATCACTGAACAGTCCAGCAGCTGGGAAATAAAACAACATTCCAAACTTAATGCAGAAATACTGAGAAACCAGACGGGCGCATAACATTCATCCCCCTTCACAATCATATGAATTAGTAGGCACCGCTGTGAGCGGTCAAATCTAATAGTGTAATACTATTAATACTATCGGTGGTGGAAAGTAGCAAAGTACATTTACCCATGTTTTTGAGGTACTTTATCTGAGTATTTGCTGTTAATTGTACTTTGATGCAACTCTTCTCTACTTTCCAAATTCAGGTATTGTCCATTTTACTGCACATTTATTCTGTCATTTAAACTGTTTTGAGGTTCAAAGAGGTACAATCGTAGTAAAAACAAAATAAAATAAAGAATGGAGAAAAGTACTAAATATTAATACAAATGTGTGTACCACTTCATTATGCCTTGAGATGTATCTTATGACCACTTGGTTAAACTAAACCCTCTGATCCGTACACAGACGACCCGGTGCCAGTCTCCTCATATACAACACTCCTGTAGAGAAAACTCTGAGCCAGAACTGTGGCAGTCCACACTCACTCTGTGATTACTGGCAAAGACTGAGCCCTGAAATTGGTCCAATTACGATGCTCCGAACCAACAGACCTGCTCCGTATCTGGCAGGGCCGCGAGGAACCGAGACGTGTTCATTATCACCTTTTGTTGTTGTCGACTGAATCAACAAAGAAACTAATGAGAACGGGAGAGGGGAGCTGCCAAATCTTTCATTTCAGTTCCCAATCTTTTCCTTACCTCTGCAGTGCTCATCATTTGAACTTCTCTGTTGGCCAAACTGATGAAAAGACACATACAACGCCAACCTCGCTCAGTCACTATCCACTGACATCACTTACATAAGTGACCCACGGACATAGGTAGTGTTTTTGGTTTCAGAGACTTCTCCAGCCACTCATTTGGATGCTTTCTCTCTTCAGTATCTATACTACATGCATATGTGCACCTCGTCTCCATCAGCGCACCATTAAGTGACCTCCGTCTCTCCTCCCACCTTTGCATCTCCTCTCTCATCACTTTCAAGCCTCTTTGAAGATGCCTCCCCTCTTGACACCTCATCCACTTCTTCCACTCCAAAAGGAGAAAGGCAGAGCGCTGATAAAAGGATTGGCTAAAAAGCTGCCATTATTCTGCTTCTGCACCACACACACACACACACACGGTGTTTTTTTTTTAATCTTTTGAAAAAGAGGTTGGCTGTTTGTCTGCTTGTTTTGATGTTGTGAGTAGAACTGAGTGCGGAAGCAGGAAAAGGAAGAAAAGCCAGTTGGATATGCACATTTAGTTTGCTCAAAAACAGGAAAGGTTCTCTATACGATATTCAGAGCATTGACATAGCGGCAAACTAATTTGTTCTATGTAAAGATACATTGGAGTCTCTAAATTGTGAAAATGTGTTACTTCTCACAACTTTGGGGTTTTGATTGTTCATTTTGGGCTCAGGTAAGGCATTTATCATTATTTTTGACATTGTAAGAGAAAAGAGTTCATCGAATAATCAACTATATAACATTTATATTAATGAAAAATATTTATCAATAGTAGACCTATACATAAATCCCTGTTTCTTTATGACCACTGCTGATGAGGGAAGACAGATTATGGTGTGGCTTTGTCAGACAAACGTCAGTACAAGCAGCAATAAAAGGCCTGGAAATGTATCCGAGTACTCGCAGACAGATTACCAGATCTGACAGATACCCCAGCCTGCTCAAGCGTTTCCATGGCTACAACCCAGCTAGTCATTGCGTGCCTTTTAAAGGTAATGAGTGGAAGAAGCCAACGTTGCTCGACTGAAAACAACCAGACGCAACTGCATGATGAATATCGACCGGAAACCGTCTCATCACAGAAATGCCAAGAAGTGAGTGGTGTGGTGATACATCATGTGTTTAGTGGAGGGAGGCCGGGCAGTAGCTCAGAGTCCAGATGATGTTTGCATTTCACTTTGTTTCAACAGTTTTACAGACAAACTGGTTTGCTCTTTGGCAGGTTTCAGACTGCGATCCTAACAGGAAAAAAGAAAAAGAAAGATGGCACTTTCTCACCAAAATTATGATCAATGCCGAACCATGTCTGAAACATGAGTCGACTGTTTCAAAGACTCTGATGTGATATCACGACCTTTTCTGAATTCTCTGAACAAAATCTTGAGGCAGGGTCTGAAACGGATTGTGGCTAAACGCCGAACAAAGTTGGATAGAAGTAGAATACATATTTTTTTCATTTTTTGTGAATAAAGTTGTACTTTTGGACTGAGGACGGAGATATTTACAGAGACTGTGTGTGTTTGTTTGAGAGAGAGGAAGAGAAGGTGAAATTAATATTAATATTAATTTAAATATTATTATTAATATTTATCATTTGAATATCAACATTTTGAATAAATCTTCAAAGCTTCAAAATATGAGCGTCTCTCTCCAGCTATTTATGGACAATAATTTGCATATGTCATTGTTTTTCTTAAAGCGATGTCATTTTCAATATTGCCCAGCCTGTCAGCTGAATGTGTAAATAGGGAACACAGCACCATAACAACTTTATAAAGCAATACTATGTCAAAGCGAGGGTTTCTAACACAGAAAATAACAGGTAGTGGCATTGATGAAATAAATAAAGGCTTTTAAAGTGTCAAAACACCTGGTCGGGTTGTGATGTAAAGAGGGGAAATCTAGCTTTCTAGCAGTGTGCTGGGCAGGTTTCTCAGCAGCACCTCTGACCCACCTGTCTTCTCCACCTCCATGGGCTCTGGGTCAGGCACCTCCACAGGGCGACCGTCCACATGTGTGAAGGCAAATGGTTTCTCAGAGGCCACCATCAGCCCCTTCCCCTGCGGCTCCACCGCTGCGTAGTGGGGCACCGACTTTCCCCTGAGGACCCTCGTCTTCTTCACCTCGTACTTCTTCTCCGGCCCTGCATGATACAAAGGTGCATTGCTATTGTTTTATTAATTGCTGTATTTTTTTGTATTTAAACTAAAGTGCTCCCTCTTCTTTCTAACCACCATCGGGTGTCCACTGATTACTACAATATCTCACACAGAACAAAACTTTGAAGTCAATCAACAGGTTGCTGATTACAGCAGAGGTTGTGTTAAAGTATCGACTCTATACTGCAGAAACTCTCGGAGATTCAGGCTGAAACTAATGATTATTTTTAAAATCATCTTTTGAACTTCAAATGAATTGTTTTGACGATCAGATTAAAGACCTTCAGAAACATTTAGATCATGTCTGACATTATCTAAAGGTTTTATCAATACTTAACTATTTTAACTAACTTCAGTTATGATGATAACTAACAAATATGTTTTCATTTTCAGAATTATAACCCTTTAAATGCCAGTTTGTTTACATAATGCCACTGTTATAAAAAACACCCACAAAGTTTGTGTTTACTAAATGCTAGGGTCCACTCTGGGACATGTGAATAATGAGCAATAGCATTCATCTGGTAAAGGCTGTTTGATAGCGAGGTTAAGTGGTGAAAATATTCTAAATATAGCAGAAGCATATATTGACATTGATTTTTTAAGGCGTCTCAAACGCAGGTTTTGCTGCTGCAGTACATTACTTTGCTCCCGCGCTGGTACTTCCTGTCTGTTTCTACTGTCTGGGGGAGTGTTGGTCGTCCTCTACTGAAGGTAACACACGGACTATGGATAAACACCTCATACAAACGCCCTTCAATCATCTGAACTATCCCTTCCCTTTAATACTGCCGATACCTTGCATTAAAACATTATTTTGGAGAATACCGTTCCCCTCTCCAGTGATGTTCAGGAAGAATTGTAAAGCTCATTGACAAAATATAGATTTAGTCAAACTTTGTGACACTAAACAAACAACAGATTATTCTACAGCTCGCAGATATCAAAGGGCTGCACCTTTAAATCCAACTTAATGAGGAAGGGACTCCCCAAAGGCTGCTTCTGTTTTTTCTTTTTCCAATCTTTCAATCATTAGTCAGTGTCTTTCTTTCTCAATGTGTGCCAAGAACTTTAATGAAAACTCTTCTTGCCAATGTTTGCTTTAGAGTACACTAATCTCATCCGGGACATAATAATTACAGCGCAGTAATGGCAGAGCGTGACTAACTTCATAGTATGGCTTGATTAGCAAAGAATCGTGTCGTCTGCTGGGTGTTAATATTGTGAAGATGAACATCAAAACGAAATAACAGGCTTCAAATTTAGCTCTTAATTCAGACCTAATTATGCTAATACACGCTCGTCTTGTCTCATTTGACTTCATGCTCAATTACTGAAATGATGATAGGCCAGTGAACCACCCACCATGTCCTGCGGTGTTGGCGACTGTGATCCACTCGAGAGACACGGAGTATCCGCTGCCTTTGGTTTCCTGCGGGTCTTTCTGGATGCGGAGCAGCAGGACCTCCATGGTGTGGACTCCCTCCTGGACATGTGAGATGCTGTGGAGGACGGTGAAAGGCTCCCCCATGTCCTCACTGAACAGTGGCTACGGTTACAGAATCAACAAATACAATCACTCTAACAAGACACAGTGGAGAGTGGGCAAAATCCGTCAGCTTTACGTTTTCACATAAGTAAATGCAGTTTATGCAAGTGTGTAATCTGGATCAATTTGGTGAAGAAAAACTACATTTTATAAGCCAGCTATGCATGTAAAAATGTATCTGAAATGAATATTACTAGAACTATTCAGTTGAATTAATAGAACTGGCTATTCAGCACAATAGATCACCATGTCAGGCCACCTCACCTAAAATAATTAAATGAAACGTTTATCTTCAGGGGGATAGCCGGTCTGAGGTGCTATTTCACACAGCAAACGATACATATTTAATGAGTGTGCGATGATTGTTTACAATGTCACCAGCAATTGTGCCGAGCTAATTTGACCAGGAAATGAGTTTGGTAACCTCTCGCAGAGAGCACTACCTGCAGAAAATAGATAAATGAAATGGAAGGCCCAGAGGCACCTGAGCCAGAAATACAATTCCAATACAAAGAAACAAGTTCTTCAGATGTAAATGATGCTTCTCACACTTTGAACCTCTACTTTGAGCTTTGACCCTCAAAGAGGCGCTATAGAGTAAAGTAAGAGCCGACAGAGATGTGTCCAGCAAGTTGTTCCTGACAAATACTGGATGCATAATCTTCTTTAAAGGTAAACTTGTATTTATAGTCTATGCTGTAGTTGTGGACTACATTATGGATATCAGGGTTTCTAGGAGAATATCCAAGACAAACAAAATTGTGCTTATAAGCAAAGATGTTGCCAAAATGTAGAACGAGATATACTTTTACATTCGGCCCACACTCTAAAAACTACTTTCGGTCAAAAGTAAATTTGGTGAGAGGTTGGTTTCTTTAGAAACTAATTATTGTCAGCCAGCTACACATGTGGACTTGGTAAATGGTGAAAGGACTTTTATAGCGCTTTTCTAGTCTTCAGACCACTACACTACATGTCATTCACTCATTCACACCCATTCATACAACTGACAGCAGCGGCTACCATGCAAGAAGGTGCTGTGATGCGGAGACGGCAGACTTCAGTGTGACTGCATAACAATATCTGCTTTATGAGCCCGTTTATTACCGGTACACACGCACAAACCACGGGGAAAGATCCCCGAGCACTGAGACTTAAAATTAGAACATTGGACTGACTCGAGGGCTTGAGTCTTCATTACAAATTCCACTCTTGAACTTTGCTTTCAGAATAACATCAAGTGTGCTTGTTCTGAGGGGGAACTCTCATTTGAAGCCAAATCCCAACTGCAGTCTGTTTACGGGATAAAGTGCACAAAGACTAATCTTATCAAAGAGCTCTCATTACTACAAGCCAAGGTTAAGCTTTAACAACTGGTTTTAAAGCCTGAATTTGCATAACAGCAAGTGTACATGCTGTATAACAGGACATTTCATCATTTAAAGGCTATACACTCTGTGAATTTCTAAACAAGAGTCATAATGAGTGTAAACCCTGTTTCGTTAATTCTGATATTGATAGATAATGCTGTTGTTTATATTGATATTTCTACCTTTAAATACGGCATACTGTTATCTCAACTACTCATTATTTATTCTCTATAATACACTATATCATACATACCAGGTTAAAGAAAAAGCAGGAATGGTGATATTCTGTACGGTAGCTCCGTCTACTTTCTGACTTCCCTCCACTTCAACCAAACGCTCCTCAATCAGGAGTAATTAATGCATTATCCGATATCGGATCTTGCTCGCATTGATCCGACCAGCCAGACCACATGCCACGGTGGCCTGTGTGGCTCGCATTGAGGTCGGATGTCCGTGAGGTGCAGACAGCATGTGGGTACAATCGGGCCAATCTATCAAACGGAGTTCTCCATCATCTTCCTCTAACGCGGGAATTCCTCTTCCGAAGAGAGCAAAGGGAAGGGAGGAGGAACACCAGAGCTGGAAAACAGCTGAGACCTGCTGTTTGAGTCCTGTTATGTTTCTGATGATGAAAACTCAACAATTCCTGATTTTGCTGCTTCAAAATGAAATATTTTAATTAACAAAATAATAGAATTTTACTGTGAAGAATTCATAGAAAAATGGGTTTATCACAGGATTAGCGAAGCTTTGTTGGCGGCATTCTTCAATAAAACAGGTCTACTAACACTGCAGGGAGGAAGAGTACGGAGCAACAATAACAGGAAACGGTTATTGTGAAGAATATTTGGGAGATGAAATGTGTTAATTCACCGTTTAACAGTGGCTCCTTTGACCACAAAACATATATCTGATCCGGCAGGTGGCATTGAAGTGTCACGTGTGGACACACATACGCAACCACAGCTCAACTCTGATCTAAACCACAGACGAAGGCTCAGAGGAATACGCTTTATCAGTCTTTGGATACAGAACTTTATAATAAGATCAGTAACATTTGGAAACATTTGAATTATCTCTAGCCTCATCCTTCAACTACTTTACGAGTTTAGGGATGACACAAAAATCAAACATGGCCATGTCACCATCAAAAGTGCCTGCTGGCGTAGACAAACGTATTTGTCACGGTCATAAATAATCACCTTTTTTATTAGTAGTAATACTGCTCCTGTGGGACTTTGAAGCTTTATTGTTATGACACACAAAATATGCGACAACGTTGTTGAATATCGCGATACAAATATTAAAACAGATATTTATGTGTACTCAGTTCTGCCTTTCTGCTGTTTTCAGTATTCTGCTAAAACAACACAAATTGCTTATTGTTTTGTTATTTTCTACATTATTTTATTGAACACATTTTTAAGGTGCCGTTTTCAACCAACTCAAAAAGTCCCTGAGTGCACATCGCATATTCTTTTGCGATGTGTTTATTGCGCAGGTTGACTTCGCACTGACGATAATAAACAGATATACTGTGCAGCACTGACGATGATAAACAGATATACTGTGCAGCACTGACGATGATAAACAGATATACTGTGCAGCACTGACAATGATAAACAGATATACTGTGCAGCACTGACGATGATAAACAGATATACTGTGCAGCCCCGACTATCTGGCTTTGGACACACACTTTCCAGACATTACAAGCCTGGACTCATTTTGAACAGTTGTGAACGTATTAACGGTTGAGTGACAAGATGAACACATACAGTGTTGTGCATGGTGACATATTTCCTCTTTAACATACAGCTTGCAAATTAGCACGTTCAGTCTGTTGCTGCACTTCCACTCATTCACTAATAGAGGTCAATAAAGGGTCATGATTAGCTACTGCCCCTTTACTCTCACGTTAGAATTTGATGGTTTTTATTACTAGTGCTTGCACCTGATACACTTTATATCCTATTGAAGATGCCTACATTATGGAAAACACAGAAGTTAGAAGATATCTTTGTGTATTACTTGAAGTGGTAAAGCCAGCAGTTATACTCACTTCCCACTTGGTATGGGAGCTGTCTGCCCTCTTGCCGGTGCGGAGGAGGAAGAGTCGGCCGGCGCCGTCGGAGAGAGCCGCCCAGGTCGCGGAGGTGAGGCTGAGGGACGCACAGAGACGATGCTCGCTCTGGCTGGAGTCAGCGGTGATACGGTAGACCTCTCTGGGCTTCCCCAGGGCCGTGTCCTGGATTCACAACACATCAGTCAGTACTGCATCCACGACACAGACGGATGTAACGGTTACCACATCAATCTGTGTGATTCATTCTGTCACCTGGGATACATTCAAATAAACTAACTTTCCAGGGCTCAACACTCACTTTTAAAAGTGGTTGCTGGGCTTTTGGTAACTCTTACTGTCAAACCCTGTTTTCTTGATTAAATATTACATATATTAAATGATTCCTTTGGTGTGTAAAATGTCATTAAATAGTAAAAAAGTGAACATTTGTTTTGTTAGACCAACAGTCCAAAATCCATCATTTACTGTCGTATATGACGAAGACAAGCAGCAGATGAAGAGGGAATCAAAATGAAAAATGTTGCCTTTTTTGCTTGAAAGGTGACTCAGTTATCAAAAAAGTAGCCGTGTCATTGTGTGCCCATCGGCTAATTGATTCAGCACTAGTGGTGGAGAAAAGCATCGGAAACAAAATCCATTTTGTCCCTAAAATGAGGGGAAAGCATGGTTGAATAATGTTCTCACTGCTACTGAACTATCGAACTGCATTCTTTCAGCAGTGCAGTGATGACTCACAAAGACTGAAACAGACACACTTAATCAAAGCGGTGAACTACGGAGGAACACAAAGGTCACTGCTCTCATGCTGAATGGGGCATTTTCATCCCATAACAACATTCTGTTATTAACATCCGATACAAAGACACACAGCAGAACATGAGTTCCAGAATATTCGTCCTGCTCAAGAGCCACGTGACAATATCCTGAACATTAGAGCTGAATAGCGTGAAAACAACGTGTAACTCATCAAAGAGAGACGAAATTGTCAGGTGGCCCGCCCATGTGACTCAGGCTTACATGTAATTCAGAGGCTCATTAGTGATAGATAGATATGCCACCACGTGAGCATCAATTACTCCTTGCGTGAACTAGCAGTGTTTCATAAGGACGGTGCAGCGGCTGCCCCGTTTTTACCATGGAGAGTGACACTGCGTATTATATCGATACCTAATGCATGACGCACCTTTGAGACCATTTTCAGCGTGGACCGCCTGTGTGCAAAAGAAAAGGCTCGTGAGGGACGATAATTACCATGTGATGATTGTAATTAGAATGTGAGCAACAGATTTTCATAAATGATGCCACTGAAAGCCAGAAATACTGTCTCCCAGGATTACAGCCTGATGATCAGCATTCAGGCCAACAATTATCTCTAATCATAGTCAATGACGTCTTGGACATAAAAGAAGTATCTGCTGAAAAGGTCTCTGGGCTAATTTTGCTCATCGTCCTATGATCTTGGTTTTGGGTAACGGACCTGGATCGGTACCTTAAGTCATTTACGTAATCACACAAGGAATCATCCAAAACTTTAGCTTCTGTGCTGATTCATACGACGGACGGAAGACGGAATAAAAACTTTCCCCGTGAATACTGAGGCTCTCACTGCCTCTCTACTTGTCTCTAGTTGAGCATCTTAAACAAGAGAACAGCTTGTAAAACATTTGAAAACATGAGTTTCTCCTGAGATCACATCAGAAATGCACGTGGGCTGATGCTGCTATTACACAGGTAGTTGGTCACCACCTGCTGGTGTGTCAGGTGCATTAAAGTCCACCAGCAATTCAGCTGTCACAACATCAGAATCACAACCATTAAGGAACAAGGACTTGCGAGAAAAAGCAGGAGGAGTTAGAAGCTTACCAAGGTGACGGTGAGGCCGAGAACCCGTCCTTTGCAGTCCACAAACAAAACGCTGTCTTCATACCACGGGTCCAGGTGGAGGTAGTTGTACATGCCAAAAGCACGCATGTGTTCCAGGGTGTAGTGAGTGTCCTTCAGCTTCACTTCCTCTACAGCTGCAGGAGAGGTGAGGAAGCAGAAATGTTAAACAAGGCATAAATATGCACATTTGAATGTTTTTACTAAAAACACAGTGGACCTCTGTATCAACATGCGTTTAATCTCAGAGTTCGTCAATACTAGGGTCATGACTAATCGGTGCCAGATTGTCACACTGGCATTGCTGATAATTTTTTGTCTGTGACTAAATATGACTAATTAAAAACAAAAAAAAAGCCACTTAATAAGAGAAGCATGTCCAAAAACTTGTTTGTTTCTACATTGTATTAGGACTCATGGAAATGCATGTCTGCTGCTGTGGCCAAATGAATGCAAAAAAAAAAACATTCTTTCATTGTCTACTTGTACCTTTACTTTCATGTCCTGGCTGATTTCTTCACTAGACCTTCATCACTTTGGTATTTTCTGTGTGTTTTATATACAGGTGCTGGTCATATAATTAGAATATCATCAAAAAGTTGATTTATTTCACTAATTCCATTCAAAAAGTGAAACTTGTCTATTATATTCATTCATTACACACAGACTGATATATTTCAAATGTTTATTTCTTTTAATTTTGATGATTATAACTGACAACTAAGGAAAATCCCAAATTCAGTATCTCAGAAAATTAGAATATTGTGGAAAAGGTTCAATATTGAAGACACCTGGTGCCACACTCTAATCAGCTAATTAACTCAAAACACCTGCAAAGGCCTTTAAATGGTCTCTCAGTCTAGTTCTGTAGGCTACACAATCATGGGGAAGACTGCTGACTTGACAGTTGTCCAAAAGACGACCATTGACACCTTGCACAAGGAGGGCAAGACACAAAAGGTCATTGCAAAAGAGGCTGGCTGTTCACAGAGCTCTGTGTCCAAGCACATTAATAGAGAGGCGACGGGAAGGAAAAGATGTGGTAGAAAAAAAGTGTACAAGCAATAGGGATAACCGCACCCTGGAGAGGATTGTGAAACAAAACCGATTCAAAAATGTGGGGGAGATTCAGAAAGAGTGGACTGCAGCTGGAGTCAGTGCTTCAAGAACCACTACGCACAGACGTATGCAAGACATGGGTTTCAGCTGTCGCATTCCTTGTGTCAAGCCACTCTTGAACAACAGACAGCGTCAGAAGCGTCTCGCCTGGGCTAAAGACAAAAAGGACTGGACTGCTGCCGAGTGGTCCAAAGTTATGTTCTCTGATGAAAGTAAAGTTTGCATTTCCTTTGGAAATCAGGGTCCCAGAGTCTGGAGGAAGAGAGGAGAGACACACAATCCACGTTGCTTGAGGTCCAGTGTAAAGTTTCCACAGTCAGTGATGGTTTTGGGTGTCATGTCATCTGCTGGTGTTGGTCCACTGTGTTTTCTGAGGTCCAAGGTCAACGCAGCCGTATACCAGGAAGTTTTAGAGCACTTCATGCTTCCTGCTGCTGACCAACTTTATGGAGATGCAGATTTCATTTTCCAACAGGACAACAAATCCTTTCTTTGTATTGGTCTTAAGTAATATTCTAATTTTCTGAGATACTGAATTTGGGATTTTCTTTAGTTGTCAGTTATAATCATCAAAATTAAAAGAAATAAACATTTGAAATATATCAGTCTGTGTGTAATGAATGAATATAATAGACAAGTTTCACTTTTTGAATGGAATTAGTGAAATAAATCAACTTTTTGATGATATTCTAATTATATGACCAGCACCTGTACTATTGGCAGTGAGCCGTTGTCGACGAGTAAAAGCAAATCATTCCTGCCAAATGCAATTAAAAAAGTTGATGCATAGCCTCCTCCACAAACTAAATCTTGCCACCGGCTCCTCTCTGTTTTCCAAGTAGATTTCCCAACTGCATTTCCTTATCTTGTGCTGTTTTTAATGCCGTGCAGTGAACCTAAAGGATATTTCCCACATTGTAGACAATAGAAATTCCTCACTGACTAGCAATGCTTTCAGTAGACAGCTGGTTGTGTTTGTATACTATCAAAACATTGTTGTCATCACTATAATCTGCAGTGAATGCAAATCATTATGCTAAATTGCTCCTTTTTATGTTAGGGACCACTTAAATCTGGGGTGGCCCAACTATGGCCCCCGGGCCAACCACCGCCCGTTGATTGTTTTTAAATGGTGAATCTTTTTTAAATATCTTAATAGCTATATCTGTCTGTTCTAACCCCTTGGCACAAAAACCAATATATTACAAAATATTAGACTCACATTTGCATTATAATCTGATCAAATGGCCCAAAAAGCAATACAGATATTTGGCAATTTCTGCCTGTCTTAACTTGACTTATTTACAGATTTACACTAACCCTAACCCATCATATTACTTTAAGTGGGCATTTAGGCCATGCACGTACTAGAGTTTAAAAGTATTAAATTAACCTAAATTACAACAGCAGATACATATATATTTTTTGTAATATGTGGGCACACCAGTAACCAGAGTAAAGTCAAACTGTTTAGTTTAATTTTCTATTGCACGAGGGGTTTTCTGGTCCAGAACTACAGATTTTTTTTCTCACTTTTTTGTCACTGGTTGAAAACTAGGCAGTCACTATTGTTTAGCCCGCGAGTCCTTATTTCCTTTCTATCTATGGCCCACAATTTTAAAAAGTTTGTCCACCCCTGCCCTAAAGTATAGCTTAACTGGGGACCTTTAGCCACTGGGCTACAGCTGGAGCAGATTTCAGCGTCATTACTTGGCTTAACAAAAGCACGTTTTCAATTATTAGCAACATGCTAATCAAAACAACTCAGCCCGTTACTCATGTTAGCTTACAGCTGTGACAGGTGTGATGAATTAGAGCTTTCAGTGGGGTATCAGTGCTAGGCTAGCACTCCTGCTAACTGTGCTGCAAGTTAGTTTTTCTCACCAGCATCCAGCTCAACGCAGTACGTTGGTATGGCGTCCAGAGATAACCTGTAACTTTCAAAGCTGGGGTCCAAAAGCTCTCTGTTGACCTTCAAGGTATAATTCGACGCAGCCATGTCTTTGTAAATGTGACAGGCTTGTCCACAAGTTGGTGGGAAGCAAGAAGATGCTGTGGAAGTCACACGTTTCCTGTTGTATGCGCACCCGGAGACATTTGTACAGCGGACATGAGCTGCTCGTGCGCTCATGGGAGGTTGAGTTCTTGTATTTTCTCTCAAAGGGTTTTCAACACATGTTTTAATACATTTAGTCGTCCCAACGAAGACGCATTCGTGCGGAGATAAAGTGCAATACATGAAAAGTTGTTTTTTTTTTACCAATGACGTTGTCAGTGTGTGGCGAATTTAGTGCCGCCAAAGCGGAACCTTTACGCTTTTAACGTTTTTAGACGGAACGTTTATGTGAAGGAACCGTGTGTTCCCCCAGCTGATCCATCTCGACAAAAAAAAGGTAACGTCTACCTAATAGCGAGCAAAATAAAACGTTTTTTTAGTAGCTACATTCTCCTGAAATCGTTGAATCCAAACGGAAACGTCTGCTGTTTGTGTGTGATTTAAACAGATCATGAGCAAAGACTCCCAGATGAGGGCTGCAATAAACCAGAAGCTGATAGAAATGGGGGAAAGGGAGCGGTGAGTCGAGCTTTACTCTTCAGGGATTTGTGGTCGTGGAATTGTTTTAGAGACAGGGGTTTGTTATTCATGTCAACTGAATACAAATGTGTGTCCGCAGCTTGAAGGAATTGCTCAGGGCAAAGCTGGTGGAGTGCGGATGGAAGGATCAGCTGAAAGCACACTGCAAAGGTATGTTGTGCGAGTATCTCTGTGTGTAACGGGGCTTCTGTGAACCTGGCGTTACTGATCGGTTTGTTTTGTGCAGATGTGATCAAAGAAAAGGGTCTGGAGCACGTCACCGTGGAGGACCTGGTCACAGAAGTCACACCAAAAGGCAGAGGTACGGATCTTTAAATGCAAACGCAACAGCAGGGGGTGGAAGAAGTACAGAGACAATAACCAGGATGAGGTCTGTTAATGAGCTTAATGTGGGGTGGTGTATAAAAACTCCTGCTAAACAGTCAAACTTTGGCTAGAACTATATTTTAAATGCTCATAACATCAAGTATAGATGTGATAAGTTGTATTCATCCCACACAGAGAGACATTCAATGAGACACGTTAAAACAACTAGAACACTATACATGTATCAACGTGGACTTTAAAGTAAGTGAATATAAGGTACTTAATACAGTAGTCACCATAAACAAATGCAAGATATTTCCATTTGGTGCAGTGGTGTAGCCATAAGAAACATGGAATATTTCAGCTTTTGTAAACATGATGCTTTAAACAAGTGGATACAGAACATTTATACAATACTGTGAGAAAAACGGACTTTGATTATCTAAAACCTGAACTTAAAACTTAAACTTGAAAAAAAAACTTATTTAAAGTAATGTAACTGAAAAAAATTAAACTTAAAAAAATGAAAAAAGCTTAATTTCAAAATCTAAACTTAAAATACCTAACCTTAAAGCTACTTACAGCTACTATATGAGGGGGACTTTGGGGATAACTGGATATTTAAATAGGTTAAAGTACTGACGACTATTTTTTTTATTTCAATGTTCAAACAATACATTTAAAAAGATTTTATAAATATATAATGTCCTTGGTCATCTGTAAACTGCTATTGGCTCCACATCTTGCGAGTTTGCAGTTTGCGAGATTCTTAATACTCAATAAAAGTTGATTAGCACAGTGGGTCAGTTAAAAACTATGTAAGATGTATATCTACATATTTTATTTTTACCATCTCTAATCTTTTTTTTTTTTTTTTTTTTACAATTGCACAATAGTTGCTGAGATCATTATCACGTACTAACACAGCATGCCAATGTCTTTCAGTCCGAGCTTCACGGACACAAATGCTCCGCTGTAAACATAAACGGCACATTGTTGACCTGTGTAGAGACTGTGGTAATCTATGAGTCATCTAGTGGCTGTGATTCATGGTGCTGCTGTTCTCAACTGCATTTTACTGAAATGGATAAGCAGACATGCCTTTATAATGCAGTCAACAACATCAGTGTAGTGATCATAGTGTGCGTTACTGCTCCCTGACGTATCGACGCTCCTTCTCCCTCCGATGCAGCACTCGTCCCGGACAGCGTGAAGAAAGAGCTGCTGCAGAGAATCCGAGCTTTTCTAGCTCAACACGCGACCTTGTGAATGGGACGGTTCATCATCTAGACTTTTCTTTTCTTTTCTTTTTTTACTCACAATTCAAATCCCAAACTGATGTTTGTTCTCATTGTGAGCGACGCTCAAGTGCTATTTTCTTTTTATTTTGTATCGTGTGTTTTCATATTGATTTTGGTTTGTTATGCAGCAGTTTTGGAAAAAAAAGAATAAAACAAATAAAGTCATGCCTATTTTTGGTCATTGGGGGTCCTGACTTTTTCTTCGATGCAGCTGAAGACCCGTTTGACTTGATGTCCTTGTTCAACACCCCCCCCCCCCCCCCCCCAAAAAATGCTGACTTCTTGTCCCCTTTCAATTGTTTCTCAACCTACCACATGGTAAGTAATATGTGTTTTAACCGTAGATGGTATGACAGAAATGTCATTGTCTGCCTCTCGTTATGGGGCTTCTTCAGGACATTAGATAAGAAGATCTTTGTTTGGAAACTACTCTCATCATTGTCATTACAGAGAGCTTAATTGTTGCATCATTTAAAAATTGCTTCCTGAAGACAAAGAACATCTTGCACATCAAACACCTCATGGGCGGTGTGAGAGCTGGTGTTTGTGTCTGCACACAGGAGGCTTCAGGGTTCAACCTTCATGTGCTGTTTTCACTCGCCCAGTCGGCCCAAAGTCAATTTTTACTTTCCCCATATTCAAACGGCTTTATTCATTAGCGGTTGAGTTAATTGTCATATTTAATCTTAATTGAAGTCAATTAATATGGAGTTTCGGCCACATCCTCTGACGTTAGTTTCCAGCATAATTAAAATGCATAAAGACTGCAGTCCAAATGTTCTACTTACTTTGAGTGCAGCTGCTCTTACAAAGTGCTTACTGTTGCATGCAGTACGCATTCAATTGGGACACATTACTTCAACACTATTGATAGATTTTCCTTTAAAAATTTGATTTGTTTTGGCTGCTGTGTCTTTCTTTTATTTGGAAATTTTATCGACTGACAAACAACAGAATTATTCATGATGAAAATTAGTTGTTTCGAAAGAACAAATGGAAGGCGTTGGACAAAATAATCGACTTTCAGAGGAAAACCACTTGTGCTTGTACACTGGAACATCTGGCTGTCTGTTACAGTAGAGATCCTTAAGTTAACCCCAGAATAAACAGCCAAAGATGTTCTCACATACTGCAAATGCTTCACTAGTCAAAAGATGGGATTTTCCCAACAGAAGTTGCCCTCCAGGAGCAGGTACATTAATCTCACTTCATCTTTTCTTGTCTAACAACATGATAGATGGTTTGAGCAAAAGAAAAGAAAGAATGGCAGAGCTGCCATGATCTTCTTAACACAAAGGCCTCAAGGGGCTCCGCTGTGAGAAAGCACAACAATTCTTTCTAGCCTGGAGGCACCTGTCAGTATTGTGAGGAGATGTAAATTAGATACAATTCTAGTTAACAAAGGCAAGGCCACTTTATCTATAGAGCACATTTCATTACTGGGAAACTGCTTCATATTTCAAAGAAAAATAAAAGGAGAAAGAGACATAGAAAATAAATCAAATATACCCTTCATAGGCCTGAGGACACAGTAAGGTGATGGTCACCAGTAAAAGCACCTTTACCAGCAGCAATGAAGGCCTCCGCCAACATCTGTAACGCACTCAGCAATACTGCAAAGCTCCAGGCCGTCTTTATGTAAACATGCGGTGAGTAGAGGGATGGTTTACTGACATTAGAAGACATCATTTTGAGGTAATAATTATTTAATTCCCCTCCTTTTCAATAACCCAAACAGTCCTCTCTCACTACCACATGAGGCTGCTAAAGTTGTCCTCCCAAATAAGTTTATCTCACTCAGCAGGTAATCAGTGTCTCTTTGTTTGCTCCCTGATGTCATTCTGTTTGAGTGAAAACAGAATTAAAAACACAACACAAGAAGTTGTGTTTTTAATGGATCCAAATTAAGCCTTTCAGAACCTCAGCTGTTACAACAAAAGGCCCTTTTAAGCCACATTAGCACCTCTGAGAGCCTGCGATGCTCATTACACACCTGAAAACAAATGTCAGTTGGATGAAAACAGAGACTATTCACCCCGAGCTGGTTTTTGGAGGGGTTAGGGTTTGTTCATACAGGAAGTGATGCAACTCTGTGCTCTGTAGGAGTGTTGAAGGAAATGGGGATTCGAGTGAAAACAGCTCAGACAAGACAATGATAGAAACTGGTGATGATTAACACTGACGCTACAGCAAGAGTTTGATTTCTGTCTGTTCAGCATGTCATCATGAACTAATAATACATCGATACCTTGTATGGTGTTGCTGTGCTCTGCGGTTGTTGCAAAATGATGTGTTGAAATTGTCTGTAATCATTCCTAAAGCTGCAGAGCGTCATAACTTTATTGACACAAGATTCTCAATCAGACTCTACTGACACAGTTGAACTTCAAATGAATAATTCTATATTGTTGGGATTATGTTTAACCTCTGCAGCCAACGCATCTGCATGTATCACGACTCACTACTTTAAACCTAATTTAAGAAATTGCGGTAGAGATAGATGTTTTTTTTTAGTTTTTTCTTTGAATGGAAACATGTATTCTGATCGATTTTTCAAAACAAAGCCCAAAGCGGTTGTATTTAGATGGAATTATATATTCACATGTAAATGAATTCAAATAAGTTTTACATGTTACATGATAACATATTAAATGGCACCGAAAGTGACAAAATGTACCAGAATGGCAATTTCAAATCAGCAGTACAGCGTCACATGTTCCTGCTATTTTATCCAACCCTTGAACAACCCTTGATCACAGCCAACACTGCTTGTGTTTGTACATGTTGTTTCACACAGGATTTGTAGAGGGGGGCTCAGACACAGTACCATGAACAAATCAACACAATCAAACGGACCTGCAAATAAACTTTGTGGTACATTGTGTATATTAGCTGCATTGGCAATATATTTGACCGTGATACAGAACTACTACCATGCAACTTGCATGTGTATTTGTGTATGGACGGATGTCTGTTTATTTGCACATTGTTTTTGCTGTCCATATGTTGTTTTGTTTGTATACAAAGCACTTCCGACCTGCGGTGCTATGCAAATACATTTGAATTGAATTATGTCCCATCACTATGACCTGTGTCACTGACGGACCCACTTTGGGCATTTTCACTTCACTGTTACTCATCCTAATAGCTGAGCCAGATTTACCCTCTGACAGGAAATGAACAAATGTGTCTGGTTTGATGTCAGCAGCAGGTTTAGACCATGCTGGTGGTTAATTGCATGGATAGGAGGATAAACGGATCTCCACAGTCTGCTCCTCCCAGTCTCAGGTGAGAGGCTCCGCCCTGAGCAGCAGTATAAAGAGTCAGTGTCTGTCTCAATCTGTCTACCTGAGCGTCACATACACGCAGCAGGTAACAACGTCTTCAACAGGTGGGCTTCACTCGTTTTTACATCTCATTTTAATTTGAAATATCTTGTCAACACTCTGAGATTGTTAGTGATTTTAGTTTAATGCTTATTTGATCAAAATGTGGCTATAATTCTATAATAATCATGTATTTGCGTCAAATTTAAATGCAGGCTCTTTACTTAAATAACTCTTTATGATATCTGGATTTTCCATCAATTTCCTTCAGATTTCATTGTTGCATTTATCTTGAATTTAGCCTTGAAATACGGTCGTTCTGCCTCACGTGGAAACCTGTACAGATTATTCTATAACAGCACTTTTGGTGTTAAATGTCAGCTAAACTAAGGGCGACACCACCATAGCACACTGCGGGTGAAGCAGCAGTGGTACCTCGGAAATCTCCGCGATGTATTCCCAGATGAAGACGGTGGCTCTCATCCTCGCCTTCTGGTGCTGCTGTAGTGAGTAACCGGTCACAAAGTACCATAGTTATGGAAGTTCATAAAATTAGCTCTGCGCCTTTTAAAAAAAAAAAAGCATTTTTCTTAACATGTCACCGCTCGCCCACCACACGGGTATTGATATTTATCAATGTATTATTGATAAATATAATTATATTATTTAATGTGTATTTCAGGTGCTCAACGTGTTGACTACGTAACTCCACATCGAGGCAGCTCGAATGGAGCAACACGACTCATGATTACAGGAAGCGGTAAGAGACGTTACTGTACCGTTTGAATCAAAAGTGATGGTGCTGAAATCTGGCTTTAAACCTAATTATCTTTAAGTGTGAACATTACATTTTTTGTAATATTGTATGTTACCATGCACCTATAGTTTCTGAACTGTGACAAGTCAACTCCTAATCTAAAACTTGAGCTAATTGCCCCTGTCACCAGTGAGTTTTTCCGTTGAAAATTGGTTCGAAGGTGAACGTTTTTTCACCGACTATTTATAGACGTTGAACGTTCACTGCTTAGACCAGATTTCAACGGGATTTTCAAGGTTACAATATTCTGTCCTCTACATTGTGCTAATAATAGCATATCATTTTAGAGGTTTACTAAGAAACCACATCCACATTGATCAGTTGAAAGCCAATATTGCACCTCCTGGTGAAATCTGGTCTGAAGCTGACAGTTTAATAAACGTCTTCAAATACTCAGTTCAATATGTAGCAATTAAATACTTAATCGTAGTAACCACTTACAGGACAAAGACCAAGTGACAGACAATTAATTTGTATTTATTAAGCAACGATATAAATATAACAAACAATGTTCTTTATATACAATCACAATCTCCATTTCCTTCCATAAAAGTCGAAGACAGGAGCCGGTTTCAGAAGGTCTGCCATATTTAAGGTGGACATCCGTAAAATAAAACAGTATTAGAACAACATTTTCACTTTCAGACCAGTTTTGAACATCTTTTCACTGGAGACCATAGTATTTTCAACGGAAAGCTGCTGACATGGATATTACAGTATACACTATTTTTTGTATATTGCTGTAAGCCAAACAATGTTTTGACCGTCTTCTTATTTGTACATTACTTTGTTTTACTCGTCCTCTCCATTTAAACTGTACAGCCCCACTCTGTCAGTCGTGTATTTTACATGTAAAATGTCCTAAATACTCTAATAACGTTGGGCTACAGTGACGCTCCATAAAGAGTCTCCAACATTAACTAACACGTTTGTTTACTGTTCATCCATGCTGCTGTAGCTACAAGCTAACATGCTAACACTACAAGCTAGCAGCCTCGCCCGCATGGTGAGCATAAAATGATACTAATGGTGCATATT